TTATCTCTTTTCATGTTATTTGCTCCCATCTCCTTTGTCAAATCTTATCTCCATTTTCAAATTTTTCTATCAATTTATTCAATGTCTATGCTACAATCATCTTCTTTATATTATTTGACCTTTTTTATTATTATTCATTTAGACTATCAACAATTTTTAGACGTTTCTATTTTATTAAAAATCTTCCCTTAAGTATACTTTCTCTTCCTTAAATTTCATTTTTTTGCTTAGTTTTCCTGGGATATTTTCAAGATTTATTTAATCATTTTGCTTCAATACTTTGTCTTGCCCATTTTTCACATCATTCGCCAGTCGACTTTAACTTTAGATTTGGCTTACTCTTATCGAGTTTCCCTTTCCTCTTGCACACCCTTTATGCAGAATATATACTTACTTTGCCTCAAGTGAATTTAGATTTTTTTATTACTCTTATCATATCATCTTCACTCCAATTGGCTAAGTTTCTGTTAGGATCCTCTGCTTTTTCACGTGTCACTTCATCTGACTTTCCAGGTTCATTTGGAGTTCTCCTTTTGTGTGATTTAATTGGGCCTGCACCTAATGCGTATCGATTGTCAGCGTATTTTATTTCTCTCCAGACCCTCTTTCTTCTTATTTTCTTTTATTCTTTCTTTTTCCCTTTACTTACGACATATTATATCTCCGGTTCGTTGGCATTGCGCCACAATCAATTGAACATAGTCTTTACTCCACCAATCAAACTGACAATGATTGCCTGGACCATACAAAGCATAAGTTAAATAGTCTCTTTCCAGCTATTTCAACCTACAGCGTCTTCTTCGCTTTGTCGCCCCATGTTTGCACTCTTCCCGCGGCACAGGATAAGCGAAGGAGGGAGAGACGAGGAGATTCTGAAAATGGATAAGTTGAATCTGGCAAAAAGCGGTGTTGCCGACGAGGAAGAAAAGGAGGAGGAAGATGAGGAGAAGGAGGAGGAGGAGACTTTTGATGAGATGGACTACAAATATGAGGACAATTCTGCAATTCAATACGAGAAAGTGAGCAAAGTTGAAGCAAGCGGACACGAGAAAGGGGCCAACAAGTTTGATCTAGAAATTAAGCCGACCGCCAATAGGCCACTGAAGCACATCAGCTTTTCACTTCCAACCCAGGACGTAGACGGTATGGAAAAAAATGGTAGCAATGCTCCATCAAATATGCCGATATTCAATACATCCACGTTAACCACATTTTTGCGATCACTGGCTCCTCCGACTTTACCAAAGGCCGAATCAGACATACAAAGTGACTCCGAGATAGAAAAAGTCAAATTTTCAGGGGATACAGATGCTTTAAAAGTATTAAAATCATTTTTAGGCAAAGTTTTCAGATTGAAAAATTTCGATTTAGAAAAGAGCAAGTTCTCAGAAGGTACTTCTATGTATATAATGGGCTATTGTATCTATTCTAAGGACTCATACTATGTTATAAAAACAAAAACAAAAATAAAATATCAAGTCTCAATTTTGACTAAGTAAAAATTAAAGTTTATTATATATATCAGAAATTTGACTTTAATATATTATGATGAAATGAGAATAAACTACAATATCTAAGATAAACAAAATCTATAATTTGTTTCGTCATATGAAAATAGCAATAAAAAATTAATATGTTTTGGATCCAAAATATATTTAGGTTATATCGCATCATGATGTACTTCAAGGATATATTATGCCCTACTCTATAATCCATAATCTTTTTTGGATAATCATTTTTCACTTGGTACAATTCTGGAATATGGCGAAGTAAAGTAAATCGGTTTTATATATCATAATACAAACCTAAATTAATACCAGAAAAATAAAAATAAATTCTTTCTACCTGGACCTTAATTTGATACGTCGTGCCCTACAATAATGAATAATCTAGTGCAACATGGACAATAAAGTAAATAAAATACTTTTCTGAAATATAATGTTTTAAACTTTGGGGAAATATGCACCAAGCTCGATAGATTATTGTACAGTAATATATTCTTTTTTATCTGCGATATTTGCGTATAAGGTTATTAATATAGTATTATATCAATATAAACCGTAATACATTATTTTTCATAATACAGGAAGTATTTTCAACACTCTTACTTATTAATTTGTGTAGACTCTACTTCACAGATAATGTGTGCTATTTTACTAGTCGATAAAAAAATATTTCAACTACTCAAACTATTTTGATTATTCCACATGTTAGGAAAAGGGATACATGATAGTTTACTTCAAAGTATATTTTAAATCTTAACTGAATGAATTAGAAAATATAAGAAACAAGCTTATTTTAAAATTTTTGTTTTCTTATACACTAAGTAATTCTATTCCAAAATATTTTTTTTCATGATACTATAATGGTGGTATAATATACTCTTCTTAATAATATCTATAAATAAAATATTTTGCTGCATTGGTTTGTTATATGACAATATTAATCATTTTACACCGTGCGTTATTTAGAATATATTGCCTGACAAATTTTCTGTATTTTATCTATGACGACCTGATCAGACTTTTCAACAATTGTTATAGCTAGATTGTTATAGTAAACGTGGTTTTAAAAACTTTAAGAAATCATAAGCAAGAATTCCAACTGACTTAGCTTTATTTACCGACTACTTTTTGTTCAACGACCTTATATGCTTTGTAAATCCGAAATCGGTAGGTAAGTTTATGCAAATACAAGTTTGATGAGCCACATTGTGATAAAATCCACGCAAATTATGCACGCTGCTTGTAACTATTGCTATTTGACTTGTGAAAAGTGTTGATTTATCTTTCATGGCCACCCGAATATTCCATTTACTCGATATTGGCCGTAGTTTTTAAGTCAGTTTGCAGGAAGGTAGGCATATCCACTTTTGTGAATCCTTCAGTGTCCTTACTATCCTTTCATAATTCCTGTTCTGCCATCGGATTTTCACGGCCCGTACGTTTCTGTGTATCACTTCGATTGGGTAGCCATTGCGACCATACCAGAGGCCACAACATCTTGGTCTTCCTACCTTAAATTATATATTTCATTTTAGTTTACGTAATCACGCTTTAAAATATAAAAATTTGATCCAATGACCTATTTAGTTGAATTTCACCTGATTTACTAAAGTGGCTTGCATGTTTTATGAAAAATTTTATTATATGTACATTTTATTTTATCTGCTATGCAGTATACAGCACAGCCGATTGCTTGCCAATGCATTTTTTATTACATGGCGTGAGAGTTACTTGTATGAATTTTATACTATCTTGTCATAATTTTTATATTTTATCAAAAAATCCCTATTCATCATCCAGATTCATAAAAAATTACTAACGTACTGCCGCAGAATAAGATTGTCCGTGATGCCTTACTATAATTTATCATAATAAATTTACTCAATAAACTTGGTCATATTAGTCATTAGTGTATTTGAATTCCTTTTATGTTAGAGTAACGTTAGATATTTTATTGTAGCTGATACTACTTGGGCATTTAAACGTAATATACTATTTTGCAATATATAGTAAAATTGACCATTCGTTGGAAGCTTACTTTCATAACATCAAAAACTAACTATATTCAGCACTAATATAATATATGCCATAACAAACCATTATCAGCATTGTACTATAGTTATGGATAAAAAAACGATTATAATTTAGAGCTAAATGCTTCGGAACTGTTTTTAAAATAATTATATTAGATTAATCAACTAAGAAGTTATTTCATACTTCTAGAAAAACATGGCCAAATTTGCATTGCAAACGGGCAATCAACATGCTTTTTTCGTATCTTCACTTGCTTCAAAATAACTGAGCAATGGGGTCAAAGTTGAGCCCTTAGATAGGCTGACAGACCTCTTCGGATAGACAGAATTTTCTATGAATGAGCCAAGAGTGTTTGACGAGTTTCGGATCCTAAGAGTTTTTGAGTCAAAAGCTATCTGATGCAAGTGGCATAACTGTTCAACTGACGATCCCACGATCAACCAACATGCATGAATTAGGTTGTATACTCGGTATTAGTGCGTTTCTAAACTGTCAATAATATTTCTTGAGTAATAAATTAGCCACTTGAGTTCGCTCATGGTGAGTTAATGACAAATCGCTGAGGTTTGTCGCCGATATTATAAGAACTAGTTTAGGAAGTGATAGCTGAATCAGATTCAATTTCATAATAGGACGCACAGGTATCATTTTGCGAAAAATTCCACTTTCAGTCCATAAACAGCCTTAAGCGACCCAAGGTGACCAGGTTCCTATACCGATTTATTATAATTTCTGGATTTTCTGGTAATTACGGACGATATTAAGCTGGATATAGTCATTTTACGTAACAACCCTATTCTTATCTTGCTCTGCAAATATTGTTAGAAGACCAAGGTTGGGATTTCTTAATTAATGGTTGGTATGAGTTTCGAAAACAGGGTCGAATCAATTCTTAAAATATAAATATTTGACAATTAGAAGCCATTAATTGTGAAGAAAAATTATACCAAGTTAATGAGAAATAAAATTTAAAATAGGGAATTTTACATCTTTTGCGTGATCTGGCTTTGGCTTCTGCCTACGCTTTTTGAGAATAAAGGAAATTTTATTAAATTAAGGAATCAAAACATTTTTCATATAAGCTTCCACACTCTTTACACATAACCTCTATCAAAAAAGATTATGATACTTTAGCTAGATCGGGATGCTACAAAATAATGCTTTACGTATTGCCCCCTTTATACCTGCTCTCGTAAGAAACTGGAGGTAATTAGGCCTTTTCAGTCTGGACCAGTTCGCAGGATGTGTCAGATTTCTTCTGTAAGATATGTGATTTTGCTCAATACTATTGAATTTTGTATCATTTGTGGAAATTTTGCCTAATTTCCGTGCTGTCTCAGATACTACAGATTAGTCCTCTCTTCTGCTTTCGCTACACAAAGTTTATTATACTTAGAATTTTGTCACTTTTGGTTGGATGAATGGATGAGTTTATCCCACAATCATTTGTTTTCACAAAGTCTTGTCCTCCAAAATGTGGTCACCTTCGTACGGTGCTGGACTGTAATTTCGACTTCGCCCGGTTCCAATCAGTACCCCAACGGTACTGGATATCGGATCATGAGCATCCAGGCGAGCATTTGCCATCTCGCTATACAGACACACACGCCGTTATTTTATGGGGTATATGCGAATATCCCTGAAAATCACATTTATAGTAGTATTATCGATATAGCTAACACGTATTTTTCGTTGTAATCCACGTATACTACTAAAATACTGCTCAAAATATATTCGCATAAATGTTGATGCTTGTATGTGTTTATATTCCCTTTCCGGAATAATATTTTGTCTTATTACGTGTATTTTTCTCAATATCTGATGGTATGTTGTGTCACTCAGTTGCAACATGATTCAATTGACCCCTCATCACAACTTGCCAATGCAAGCAACACAAATACAAAATGGCCAAATTTCTTCTTTCACCTGACTTTTTATTTGCCGACGCCGCTTTCTTTCTTTTTAGAACCCCCAGGGAAGCAGGATATTGAAAAGAAAGTTAGATCACAACAAAATTTTGCCCCCGTATCCTCGCAGCCCGAACTACAGGTCTTCAAGGCTGACGAAAGCCACTTTTACGGTAGTAGTGATTATGCAGCCAGCCCGGGCGACGCGAGCGATTCTGAAAAAAAAGAAGAAATGACATTGGTCGAAGGGCCCCTGAAGGAAAAGGGCGAGACTGAAGATGATGATGATGATGATGATGATGGTGAGGATTATCTAAGTGAGGCGACTGAGTACAGTGAAGAAATGGGTCATGATATTGGATGGATCTACGAGAAGGATCGAGCATCGGTGAGCCACAATTTCATCTCGTTTAGACACGACTTTACTGCACTCACTACGTTTTTGCATTGAGAAAAGCAATCAGAAATGCCTTGAATAAGTGAATAAAAGCGTAATTTATTGCCCCAAAACACTAAAGATTGTTTCGATTGTTAAAAAATAAAGATGTAACCATATTAAATGTGTCTCGTGTCCTACAAGCCTTAATAATTCTCGACAATTATGCATTCTTAACGATTCTTGTACATTTATTTGCCCTTCGGTATGCCTGGCCATCTGTAGATTATGTCAACTGTTGCCATGCTATGATTTGTATCACCCAATTGTGTTTGTCTCAAATACTCATCAAACGTCCCAATGGTTTCAGCAATGTTGTGGTGACTTTACTTTCGTGTAAAATTGCGTAATCAAGAGATCCGTAGGCTAACCTCACCAGATACGAAGATAAACTGGGTTTCGTTCAATTCCCTAAGATAACATTGGAGGTGGAGACTTTCATTTAGTATGAAAGTGCATAAAGATGAGATTTGTAGGTCGATCTTACCAGAAGAGGATGGTTGAATCCTGTGGTACTGCAACCGTTTGGCTTGTATACCACTTTCAGGTCGACGCAGTCCACGAGAACTCATTCCCTCATTTCGGGTGAAAACGGGCTGAGCTTTCGTTCATAATTCGATGGGCATCATCAGAGCTGGGTCTCATTTCTGTAAAATTCTCACGTTAAAACTAGGGCAAGAAGATATATATATATATATGAGGCGGTTTTGGCGATATCATTAAACACGATGCTAGATTTACTCGAGTTTTTCTAGAAAAACTATCATAGCCGCTTGACGGTCTGGTGCGATTCAGATTCATCCGATACACGGTCGTAGCACTACTTGAACGTTTAATTCAGTAGTGCAACTAGTTTCCAAGACGGCCCTCGAGATAGCATAGTTGTGATGAAATTAATTTGTGCTAAAGCGTGTGTGATGACGAGCTTCTCGGAACGCTTTCATGTAAAGGCAAGAAAGGAGGCCTTTGGAACCATGTATTTCGGTTTTTCTGGAACGTTCTGATGGGCGCCATTTAAGAGCTATCTACCTCCGATCCCTAGATTTCGATTGCCATATCACTGGACAGTCATCTTTATACCATACATTCAAGCCAACACTTGGTCAAGGAGACAAACCAGCCCTAGGTTGCTATGCAAAGGATTAACGAAATCAATATATTTATATATATACATATCCCTTTGCATGGCAACCTAGAGCTGGTTTGTCTCCTTGACCAAGTGGTGGCTTGAATGTATGGTACAAAGATGACTGTCCAGTGATATGGCAATCGAAGGTGGATAGCTCTTAAATAGCACCCATCAGAAAGTTCCAGAAAAACCGAAATACATGGCTTCAAAGGCATCCTTTGTCGCCTTTTCATGAAAGCGTTTAAGAGCAGTTCGTCGGCACACACGCCTTTGCACAAATAAATGTCATCACAACTATGCTATCTCGAGGGCCGTCTTGGAAACTAGTTGCACTACTGAATTAAAGGTTCAAGTAGTGCTACGACCGTGTCTCGGATGAATCTGAATCGCACCAAACCGTCAAGCGGCTCTG